CTGATATTTCTGTAATCCAGACAAACAGGTATATACAGTAAAAAACTGGTACACACCAAATGTTATGAAGACGGTTATTTGGCGTCAATCTTTCGACCGTCCAAAGGCAATTTTCAAACCAAAAATTGATTTGAAAAAACAGCGAACCGATAATCCCCAGCTAAGCTTTACTCTTGCGTGCTGCAGCCTCGAGACTTTCATCTTGCATATTAGCTAGACAGCTAAGACTACTCTCCTTCTCTCCCTACACCCGCATTTTGCGCTTGGTGGTTAAAAATATTATGCCACATTAGGAGTGACGAGCACGAACCGAGAGTATTCAAAACTAAGTATGCTGCGAGAAATATATGAAAACGGTGACTTTAGTTGCCATGTATACAAATGTAATAGAACAATGAGGATTCAGTATTGAAAATGCCATCTCATAATTCATATACAGAAACCCTAAAGTTGCCGTTCCTCTACATTTCAGCAACACGCTAATTCAGTTTTGGTTCATGCTTGCCACCTTCAGTCTTGTGGAGTGGATATTCTAACGTAGCCTCAGCGATACATTTTAAACAATAGGAGACAAGGGAACGTAGAGTGGCTCATCAGTTATTGAATCTAAATAGCGCAGTAGCTCAGAGTAACGTCGTCCGTCCTCATTCCATTTTCCTCGGAGAAACGCGGTTTATAAAAAAGTCACGAAAATGTCGCTTTTTCCTTGATTAAAGCTTTGTGACTTACTAGCATAATTTCGGACTCAACAATAATACTTTTGTAAGACCCGTTTTTTATGTTACTTGGCAAACATAATACATCTGATTAAGAGAGATCCCAGAAGGTTCTGGAAACTTGTGCTCACTGTACTGGAAGAAGAGTCTGCTGATATTTATGAAAGCAATCCTTTGTGTCTGCGAAAGCCGTGCGTCTGTTAGTCCTTGCTTTTTTCTACGGCTTTTTCTGAGGCGTTATGAGTAAAGTTTCTCTACGTATAATAAGAGCGTTTGTACACCCATTCCACACTGTGGCAAAAGACGAATTGATACCGCAGTACGCAATGTGAATGATGATCCGAGAAGCTGTTGAAATGAAAACTCCAGTGCAAAAAAAGTTGAAAATAAGATAGCGGAATAATAAATATTGATTCTTTTATTTGTCACGTGGATGCTTTCCACTGAGGTTTGTGTACAGGGTAACCGCTATTCTTAACGTTTTCATAAAGCATCATATATACTTTAAAATTTCCGGATTCCAACTTCATCGAATCCAATATATGAACAATGGCAATAAAGTAAATAAACACTGCCAGCTACGAAAAGCCGGACAACGCACCTACAGGTATACTGCGCTGAAGCCCATTTACCTATTTCCCAAACTGTAAAAGACACGTGACCAGGATAACTACCATTCTACCTGTCAGAGTCTCCAGCACACCACATTAAAAAAAATCACCAAATGTCATAGACTCTGGAAAGTCCTTCTGAACCTGCTGAAGAAATTCCAAAACTCACAGAATTTAGAGTATTTGTTAATTATATACGTGTTACTCCCAAAAAAAATAATTTCTTAATCTCGTTTTTTGGTAAAATAATGACTATATTTGAAGCACGCTTTTTCAACAATGTCAACGTTTTATCTTTATTTTTGTTTACCTTTGTTAAAATGAATGAAGAAAGCAGTTTCTGAGAGCTGAGTAGTGCAGATATTTTTAGTTATTGCCCTTTCATTTGCTGGTGTTAGTGACTTTGACAGGAGTAGAAATATTGCCTATCGAGATGTTGGTTTGTCGAATCGCAAAATTGGCCGCCGTATTAATTGTACTGCACTGAAGGAAATGCGTGTGTGTCGTGTGTGGATAGAAGAAGGTAGAGAAACACGAAGGAGGGCAACTGGTACCACAGAACGTCAAGGTAGGCGCTTGAGACAACTAGCCCTACGAGACCATTTTGCTACAAATACTACAAAGCTATGGTACGGAGAAGGAGGTAGACTTGTTACTATGCGTATAGTCTATCGCCGCAGTCTAGTCCTTGGACTTTTTTCATACCGTCCACGGTTAGTGTTTCCTCTGACTACGGACCACTGTCGTCAACTAATTTTTCTCGAAATGCCATTCAGAATTTCCACAATAATCATATGTGGGCAAAATAAAATCCCTCCCTATGCCGTAACCGAAACCCATTTACAACACCAATTTTCGGTTAACGTATCAGCAGGAATTATTGGCAACCACTTTATTGGTCCATTCTTCTTGCCGGGACGACTTGACGGTCAGACTTACCTCAATTTTCTTCAGCAACAGTTGCCTTTGCTGCTTGATGATATTCCGTTAGTGATAAGAAACAGTATGTGGTACATGCATGATAGTGCTCCAGCGCATTTCAGTGTAGCGGTTCGTAATTATTTACAACCTGTTTATCCAAATCGTTGGATTGGCCGCGGTGGACAATAAGAATGGCCACCAAGGACCCTAGATCTCAACAGCTTAGATTTCTTTTTGTGGGGCTATCTTAAGACACTAGTGAACACCAGTCCCATTAACACTGTAGAGGAATTGAGAGAAAGAATAGTTGCAGCTTGTGATAGAATAAAAAACACTCCAGGGTTATTTCAACGAGTGCGCAATTCCATCAGAAGGAGGGCGGAATCATGCATACTGAGTGACGGGGGCCATTTTCAACAATTTTTGTAATGATTTCATTGGTTTTAATGTTATGTTTATGTTGTTAGTTATTGTTGTTCATTACCCCTAATGTGTTAATTTTTCCAATTAAATTAAAACTAATTTCGCAAGTTAGACAGTAGAACGGTTTTTATTATTTTGCTGAAAAATTGCGCTTCAAAGGAAAGTGACACATGAGGGATCATTTGTTTTAAATTGAACGGGGAATTCAAAAATAATTATTATTTGGCAAAAAACCATTGGCGTACCATTTTTTTTTTCTTAAAAATATCGAACTCAATAACCGTACGCACGCCACTGTTAAGGCTAAAAATTATTTTGCATTGAAAAATATGCAACTTTATTAACTTTCACTACGTACTAAAAAATATTAATTAATTTCTATTTTTTTCCTAAAACTTCAACACCCCGAGTCATTGTAAGCAAACTAACATTAATTTTTAATGTAGATTCACACCCTTAAATGCTCGCATATCATTAAGGAACACCGTGTACTTCGTTGACTATTAAATTAAAATTTCAGGTGATGAGGCTTCAAGATCAGGGGTAAAGCAGAAAAATATTCGGAATCTTAGAAGCAACAATGATCATTGGTTCGCTTGACAACACCGCGTCTTGCTCATTCCAAGACAAGGTTTAAACCTCCATGATAGTCCAGTTCTATTAGCATTTCTTTTTTTCCAACAAGTAGTTGAACACCGGTATACTAACCACTCTTGTTGATGACTTTACAACAAACGAATAAAGGGTTTTTCAATAAGGATGCGGTAATGCTGATATGTAATAAGACACGTGGTGTATGATAATATATTAACGAGGTTTGAATTTCTATTATATGGGAAATGGTATGAAATATGAAATATACACGCATTCAAGGAGTTCACATTTTAGTAACCGAAGTAGTCACCATCATAGTTTTCGAAAAAATAGAATAAAGAATATTGACTCTAGAGGTCCCACGTAGGAAGATGAGGTCTGATGAGAAATCTCGATCCCGACACGAATTGGCTGTCAAAAATTATGGTTAGTATTTGAATTCACAAACTCGACCTCCAAATAACCTTTGAGAATACAGTCAGTCAATATTTTTAAGAAGCATGGCTACAATCCATTTTGGTAGCAAACAACTTACCCGCTGATCATGAGATAAATCATTGACAACGACGACCAATTTCGCCGGAACATATTACTTTCGGAAGAATCCAGCTTTTCTCTCCATGGACGTCATAATCACTAAAATCTAGGTATTGGTCAAGGCAAAACAAATATTTAAGTTTACCATTGAGAACGCAGTATCTATAAAAAGTTAATGTTTGGAGGGGTATTTTAGGGGACCACATTGTTGGACCTTTCTGCATTAATGTTACCTCAAATTCTCGCGTTATTTGAAACTGCCTCAAAATGAAATTATCCAGACTGAGTGTCAGCCTCGATAGTATTTTTGTTGGACGCCTGATCTCTACACATGGCAACACACAGTAGCCAGCGAGATCCCCTGACTTGGCGCCTAATGATTTCTTTTTGTGGGGATACGTGAATACCCGCATTTACGGTTTCCTCCGTGCAAGGGCTACCACTTTGAAGGAGTTGAAAATAATAGAAGAATGTCGTTCGGTGACTCATACCATGCTAGAAAATGTTCGAACGGGCTTACAATCGGTTAGGTTACTGTAAAACCCAAGAAGCAGGCCTCTTGGAACATTTAATTTAATATCTTGTTTCCATTTTGATTAAAATTATTTATTTATTTCAGTTTTGATTCAACTTTGTGTTTTAACCTCCTTTAGCATTATCTTTGTTTTCTCCCGATGGTGTTAAAATCAACACGTCCTGAGTTATCGTGCGCGCAAAATGTAACAAATAACGTTACACAATATGAATACCATTGCTTGATTGCAAGATACGGTGTTGTCAAACGAACCAATGATGCAATGTTGCAGAATTTGGATGATCCTGATCTTTCATTTCGACCCAAAATGGAGCGCCGTTACGACCGATCCGAATCAGATTCTACACTATTCACAATTCAAACATGTGTACGCTCAAAATAAAACTATTATTTTGGGTAAAGAATAAGTAATGCATATTTTTAATATGCATCTTATTTCATGAAACTGGTGTAAACATATGGCTTCTATCTCTTTTTAGCAGATGTGCATACGAGGGATGTCTTTTAAGTTTTGCATATAGAAGCATAGTAGGCCGCGCGGATCGAACGTCAGTACTGAATCTTAACCTCACTCTTTAGAAAACTTAAATTCAATGTTTCACAACAATACGTGCAGTGTTGTCACTACAGTGAATTTTTAAGTGTCACCAAGTCATTAGAAAAATGGAACCGAGAACATTTATTACAAATTTCAGGGACAATTATCGCAACAAGAATGCCTTGCTGAGTTACTGTCTGTTTTCGGCATCGAAGAGCCAGATCAGTCGACAATTTCTCGCTGGTATGGAGAATTCAAACGTGGACGGGTGAGTCTTAGCGACGATCCCAGGGTGGGTGCACCAAAAACGGCAGTCACTCAGGAAAACGTAGATGCTGTGCGCAAACTCATCATTGAAGATTGACATGTGACATATCACGAGATTGAGGCGTCCTTGAAGATCTCAAGTACCTCAATTCAAAAAATTTTACATGAAGCATTAGGAGTAAGAATATTAGTTTCTGGTTGGATACCCCACCTGTTGACTGAAGAGCAGAAAGCAGCCAGGGTTAATTGGTGTCAAAAGACGCTTGACCGTTTCAATTTCGGAAACTCAAAAAATGTGTACAGCATTGTTAGTGGTGATGAATCGTGGATTTACTGTTATGAACCAGAAAATAATGACAGTCGGCGGTTTGGGTGTTTCAAGGTGAAGAAAATCCAACAAAAGTCATCCGTTCTCGAAGTGTTTCGAACAAGACGGTCGCGACATTTTTGCCAAAAGCGGGTCATATTGCAACAATTCCTCTCAATCAGCAAAGAACTGTTACTGTGGATTGGTATACCACCATTTGTTTGCCAAAAGTCATCACCGGGCTTCGAAAAATCAAGCCCGAAAGAAGAATCATCCTCCACCAAGACAATGCAAGCTCGCACACAGCTCAAAGGACAAGGCAGTATTTAACGGAAGAAAACGTGGAATTATTGGACCATCCTCCATATAGTCTCGATCTAAGTCCTAACGATTTCTTTACTTTCCCGAAAATTAAAAACAGACTGCGTGGTCAAAGGTTCCAGTCACCAGAAGAAGCAGTTGACGCATTCAAAAATGCCGTTTTGGATCTGCCAGCAAACGAGTGGAATAAGTGCTTCGAAAATTGGTTCGAGCGCATGCAGATGTGTATTAATCTTCGTGGAGAATACTTCGAAAAACAATAAAGTCATTTAAAACTACCTACCGTGTTGTTTTATTTCCATATGTAAAACTTAAAAGACATCCCTCGTATGCATACTTCTCGCGCTTCTCTATCGTGCACATTGATTTCGCGCCCGTTAGCCAAATTTGAATCGCACCATGTTCTGACAAGATGGCGGTCCACCGCAATGAATAAAAATCAGAATTGCAGTGCATATAAATCTCACAAATCAAAAATGCACCCACGAAGACTATAAGAATTGTTCACTATCATTTACATATGAGATGAACCGGTTAAGAGTGATATTTTGCGCATGTCTTGTGTCAAGTCCATTACAAGACAACGTCTTATGTTTAAAATTACTGGTATTAACCGAAATATTTATTCTCCCCAACAGGAACTAGACAGCTTTTAAACAACAGCTATATTGACAGTTTTCTATATTTTGGGTTACAAAAATAATAAAAAGAGATAGAATGGTCCATCTTGTAAATAATTTACTTACAATATGCAAAAGAAATTGGGCAAATTATAACACACTTCTTAATAATTCTTCTAACACTTGACAACATTTATCACTCCCCTAATCCAGAAATGCCTACTACCTCATTTTTGAGTGAAATTTGTTCGGTATAGACTAAAACGGTTATTCCTAGCCCCTGCCATCGTCGCTGATCTTCTGAGTTAAGCCTACAAAATTTATGTTTGTATTCTTCTGTAGCTCTTCAGAATGATTGTCTATAATTTTCAGAAGATTTTAATTATTTATCTAAACTGAGCAACTGCTGGCCATCCATAAGGTCTTATAAGGCTTCTAACTCCAGGTGACCCTAAAACAACATTCGCCCTTTGGTAATGAAAACAGATGAATCTTTATATAAACCTTTTTTCAGAATTTCTTATTCAACTTGTTGCTTCTTTATTTAGATTTGTGGGAGAACAAAATCAATATTTTTCATAGTGGCACTTATTGGCGGCTAATGATTTAAAATCCAATAATTACATAGCTTGAACAACCAATCGTGTTAAAAAAGTTGCCTGGACTCACCGGAAAGTACATATAACAAAATCAGGCCACATTAACAAGCAACCAACATTAAAGAGCTTTCATACTTTTTAGTGCCTTATAGTATATTTTCATTTCATTATAGCTATAACATAGATACATACCTGGACTCTCACAATGCATAATGAGTTGATCTAATAAAAATTTGATCGATAACAAGTAGCACTGAACTATACAGCCACAAAGTTAGTTTTGATGCGAAACAATATGAACGTTGCACAAAAGATAAGTTCAAATTCTCTGACCCGATCAACCAGTGAAACGATCTACGCCCAAAATTAAAAACTATATGGTTTTCCGAACCCCACCACGTTTTGCGACACAGATTTGAGGCCGGCTAGATTATAACTTACCTCTGTGTGAGTCACCAGGACATGCTTCAGATGAAGTGATTTATATATTGTTCAGGTGTCTCAGTACAGGCTAGCGGTTCTTTACTTCAGAGTTTGTGGAGATTGGGGTAAAGAGGTCACCTTTCTTCATACGATGACCCACGCATGCTCAATGGAAAAACGTGTCGAGATCAAGGAGGCCAAGAAAAGGGGTTGACTCGGGCTGGTTTGGGGTAGCTCTAGCAATATCAGAACGGGCGTTATAGGGCTTTCAATCATTTGGAGGAGTGATAAACATTGGATTCTAGTATTTCCTGCATATATTGCTACGGCAATAATAGTGGAAACTAGAAATAAGTAAATACGTTAGCATTTGCGAGTTTCTCCATGACACACTGGAAACTATGTAATATCATTCATTATCCCAATTTTCATCTCTGCTTTATGGTTCCATGATAAGCAAGCACAAGTTAGGAGCTGTCTGAGAGAAATAGATAATGGACAGCTTTTATTTGAATCAGTTGCACCGTACTGTTGGAGTTTTGCTTTGAGATATCACTACATATGATGCTGTGACCTGTAGCTTCCAATAGAGAACGTATGACTGCGCAACTGTATATCCTGGAATTACTGGGACGTCACCTTTTACCCTTTTTTCAAACGCTTCTAAGCCTTACTGTCCAACAAGATAACGACCGTCCCCATAGTGGCAGAGCTACTGTAAACCACCTCAACAATGATCAAATGAACCTGCTTTCTTGGCGTTCTAGATCTCAAGACCATTCCCAGTTGAAAATACGCGATATAAGATGGCAAGAAGAGCAACCTATTTACCTCAGCCCACACGAACGTTCGCAGTTCTTAGGGAACAAGAACAACTAAGGGGCTCATGTTTTAAGTAAGAACCGTTTTGCAATGGAATTACAGAAAAATTATTCATTAATGCATGTCAATAATCTCTGTCTGTCGGTCTGTACGCTAATCTTCTGTATTGATGAGTATTTGGCAAATAACTTTAGTGATACGCTTTTGTAAATGTTCCTATTATTTTTTATTCTAGTCGGCCCCACGCTTCCGCAAGTGTGCATATTTATTTTTCTCAGATCCATTTTCCGCTTGTGTGTTTATACCCGTATTTATTATACTCTCCCGCAATTGCGGCTGTGTCAATGCCCTTATTTATTTTACTGTGTTTAGCTTTCGCGCTTAGTCTGTATGCCTGTATGTGTTACAGTTTACTGTTGTTAAATTTTAAGCCCCTGAGGGCAGAGACATGTATTTTCAACATGTTTTGACGTATGTAAACACATTTGTGTAAGAACAACAATAAATTATGATTTGGATTATTATTGTTATTATAACCGCCTATAACTTGAGAAATACCACTCGGATTTCGATGAAATTTTTACACAATGTTACCACTACTCCAAGGACACAAAAGCTCTGTAGTTTTTTAAAACCGTTCCAGTGACGGCAGAGAGAAAGGCTTAAAAGAAAAAAAGTAAAAATAGCTGAAACTTCCTGATCATCTTTGAAAAAAACTCTAGAGGCAAAAAAACTTGGGGGTGGAATTCTAAGTGGATGTGAAGGGCTCATTTTAGTTTGATGCTGGTGGACATGTTTCACACATCATAGAGTTTCATTAGTCCTGAAAATTATAACTGAAAAATATTCTCGGGAGACCAATCGCGTACCTACCGGCTGCGGCTGCTGCTGCTGCTGTGACGTGCCGATCGCGATGGAATCACATGAATTTTTGACGCGCAACAGCATAGTGTCTTCTCTGACCGCGCTACCACGATGCCACAACGGCCCGAGGGTCTAGTTTGTGCTGAAAATATCCCTTCATGTACTGATAAGGGCGTTGCGTGGTAAGCGCAGGGTCAACCTACTTGACGCCATTTGTTAACATAGTCACCATAAACATTCGTCAAGTTGTGGCAGCAGCTTTCGTATCCCGTCGCCATACGCTGCCATCTGACCGTTAAACCAGTTAGTAACTGTTTCATCCAACATTCCATCATTTTACAAGCGCTTTCTATCAAGAAAGTCCTTAAGTTTTGGAATTCGCAACTAAACTTGTCCTGTTGAATCTGTAGTCTTGCCGCAACGAGAGGCCAAACGTTGTCGTGTAGAGGAACGACGTCTCTAAAGAACAGGCACGGCTGGAGGTTTTAAATAGCAGAATACCCCATCTAATTCAACAAGCTGCTGGCCAGTTTCAGCAGGAATCTTATTGGCATTTGAATATCAAATAACTGAGCGCATTTCACAATCTTGGAAAGGTTGCTTCGTTGCATTGCAATGTGAATCTTTCTATTGCAGGCAAACAAATTGAGCATGTCCCTGGCGTGCGTTATTTTGGTGCAATATTTGATGAACACCTTACCTTTCATGATCATGTTTCCATTGCTGTTCAATGCGAAGTTGAAATCCATTTAAAATTTTAAAAATATCTGCCTAAAGATTCCAAAATTAAGCTCACTAACAGCCTCATCTTAAGCAAGCTGGGGTATGATGAATATGTTGTTGGTTCTGTCTTATTCAACAGGATGCTTTCCAAATACAAAAAGTCCAAAACAACTGTGTATGCTATGTTTTAGGAATCTCGAGAAGAGAAAGAATTTCCAGGCATCTTAAGGATATACAATGGCTTACAATGCATTAGCAATGGGTAGTACACCTACTACAGGGCAACCTTTCTGTAAAAATTTTTCTTCTCTGTGACAATCTGCAAGCTACTTTAAAATATTTGCTGATGCAATCGTTCGAAATTGAGATTAAAGAATTCATTTTCAACGATTTTACATGATATTATATATGAGTTATTGTTATATATTTTAGATTTTTTTAACTTGATTTTTCCTAGGTGGTAGACGGTCTCTGACTGTCGAACGCGGAAGTACCACCCGGCGGATCTCGTAGGCGGAGCCAGAATGTGTGCATGTTGCATGCACACGTGTCTCCTCGCTAGAGTCCGTGTGGCGTCCCCCCTTTCCCCTGTATCCCCCTATAGCCCCACGGTACCCAATGGGTATTTAGGCCTTAGACATTCGTGGTAGTCGGAGTATAAAAAAAACTGACCTGTTTGTGTAATAAATATGCATCGTACGTTGCTGAGATAACTGTATTTTTTATGTTTCATGTATATTTTTGCCCTGGTTGGTACTGAAAAGCAGCTATTAATCTGAATACCTGCCAGGTAAATAAAGGCCTTCTGTCATTATTATGAGCCAGTATTCTACTAAATTTTTCATTCGAAGTAAATCTATCAAATTGAGGTAGGTCTAATCTCTGCAGATAAGTCAAACTTTTCCGATTCATTGGTCCAAATTTAATTGCAAATACGATTTGGCGCTGGGTTGAACTTCATTTAATAATTCGAAAGTTTGACAGAACTCCAGCAAAAGGAGGGCAAGTGTTTGCCATTTGGAAGGGTGTCCCTACGAAACAGCGATTACTATTGACGTGTTCAAATGAGGGTACGGGGGAGAAAGTTACCAGGAAAATCAGTTAATGCGATTTTATTTCACTAAGTAGGGTAAAACACGGTAACTTAATCACAGTTTATATCAACGATTCGTCGATTAGAATTCATCATCCTAGGTCAATGTTTTGTGATTC